TTTTTTTTTTTTTTTTTTTTTTTTTTTTGGTAGGACGTTCTGTTCATAGGGTAGTTTTATAGTTATGTTGATGTTGTTGCTCGATGTGCAGCGCCAGGTCCACAGTGACGGATGGTACGATCACATTACTTTTTTGTTAGCTACTCTGTGTTACGGTTCAGATGACGGGTCCGGTTTTTGGCTTCGGACATGTACATATGCATTTCCAATGGAGTGTTTTTTCATCGCTTTATACTTCTCCACGTTCCTCTTCTAACCCCCGCTTTTGCATGTGAGTCGTTGTTGTTTGCTAAGTGGTTTTTGGTTTGTTGTCGTAAATGTCCCTGATACAATGAGTATTGTTGTAGCAATGTTGCAAATCGTGTCTTTGTCCGATGCCACACACATGCATGTCATGGTTGCTTCCATTGTGAATGTGTTGTGAATTTCGTCTGCCAAATAGGGATGATATGCTAATGCATGTGTTGTTTCACGAACTTTCACCAGCCTCACGAATGAACACACGCATGCATGTTATGGTTGACCACATTGTGAATGTGTCGTGAATTTGGTATGTGAAATAGGGATGATATGCTAATGAATGTGTTGTTTCAAAAACTTTCACGAACTTTCACCAGCCTCACGAATGAAATTGATGCCTGCCTRACCTGCCTCTGGTCTGCCATCCGCACCCCCGCCCAGCCCCCACCTGACCCCCACGCCCTAACCCAACCCCCATCCTTTATTTTATTTTTCTTGTGTTGCCGACCCTCCTCCCTGCGCACCTGCGTCGACAAACCGCAACTCTGGGGACGCATGAATTTTCCCGGCCCACCCTGCCAGGCCCATGTTTAGGACCCTCCCGTTTTTTATTTTTTTGACGGTCTGCCACTTCGAGGGGGTGACCCCCCCCCTCCACACCCGAAACCCGCTCCCTGCTCCAAAACCCCCCTCCCTGATCGGCCACGACCGCCAGGGTTGTCCGGCGGGGGCCCCCGGGGGCAAAGCCGGGGTAGGGGTTTGACCCCCGGACCCCTGCCGCGAGGGTGCCCC